AGATTGGGACGGGATTCAAAGATGAAGATTTGGAGCAGCATTTTAACTTCCTAAAGGTAATTCTCCAAAACAGGATTGTTCTGAAAACCAGAAAGTGTTATTTTGTAATAGAAGATCTCTGTAAAAGAGCCAATCTTTTAGCCAAGTAGGGGAAACTCAGTTGCAAAGTTTGGAAAAAAGTATGCTTTAAAGGTTTAAAGTTGCATGGTTCCTTAATTGATATACATTGCCAGTAGATGGCGGTAGAAAATTCTCAATGTCCCCTGGGGTCAAAAGAAAGCAGATGTATAAAATGCCAGTCTAGAAGCATGTGAAATTTCATTATTTAAACTAATTTCCACAGAGCATGTGAAAATGACCCAACTGTTTTTTTTTTTTGTAAAGTGTTTTGTCACTTTTTGAGCTTTTATTCTGCAAGGGTAGAAAATGCTTGCAACCCTGTAATCGTATCCCGTATAGGATTGTGAGGGACAGAATGAGAATCCCAGTGGCCTAATAGATAAACAGCCCAAGGCTGGTGGATTGTGTCCCATGTGGTGTGGTGTTGTCTTTTGGGCGAGATGGGACAGATTACCTCCTCTGGTTTGTGTGTGCTTTTGTGATCCCAGTTTCCGTATTACCATGACGTTCCAAAAGCATCCTGCACGCTTATGAAAACGGTTTGTTTATGGATTGAGTGCAGCAGTGCTGAAGCCCGAGTTGTGTGTTGCAGGACCACACCCTGCCCAGTCCCCGCCCCTATTATCGCGTGGACCAATCGGCCGAGCCCGACGTGTGGTTGGAGGCGGTCCAGGTGTGGGAGGTGAAGTGCGCCGACCTGTCGCTGTCCCCTGTTCACAAGGCGGCAATGGGACTGGTCAGTCTCCCTTCGACATCCTTCGCTTGCATTCGTGATTCAAAGTGCCCGCCGGATTCTCGAAATGGAAGTTAACCGTGTCTCTTGCAACGTTTATTATCGTACGCCTCTAGGCGGACTCCGATAAAGGGATCTCTCTGCGCTTCCCTCGTTTCTTGCGGATCAGGGATGACAAGAAACCGGAAGAGGCCACCACCGGGGCGCAGGTCAGTCACCTAGGGGAATATTAACCCCCGAATCCCCAAGAGTCTTAATTTTCTAGGACTCTTTCAATAATTGTTTTAAAGCCTAAGAGAAGAACGGCAAAATGGCCCAAATAAGACCTTTAATATTCACGTGCAGGTGATCTGAAGTGTTCCTGCACGGTCTCTCTTGGGGAGCACGGTATTTTTTTCAATCGCGGTGCGGAGAGAGAGAAACTTCCTGTGTTAACACCGTGGGGTGTTACAGAAGTGACATCGCCCATCGTGGTGCCAAGCCCTCGCGCTGCGAACGTGCCAGTCTCGTGACATAGCGTGAGCTCTCATGAGCAGAGCAGTGCACGTTTATCTGATCGCGTTCCCCGTTTTTTTTTTGTTGCCCACACCCTGTGCCGTTCTCGACCCGCAGGTGGCAGAATTGTACCGAAAACAGCAGCAGATCCAGAACCAGGCCTCCGGCGAGAAGGCAGACCTGGAGGACTATTACTGACGCCCCCGTCTTCCAGCGAGGTGCCCCCGACTCCCCCGTTCTCAGCCTTGACCACCAACGCCACCGCTCAGACACGCACGCGGCTGCCGCCTTTGGCCTGGCCAGAAACGATTTGCTTTTAGGTTCTCGGGAGGGGGTGAAACTTGCCGGTTGACGGCGCAGTACGTTTATCCGCCTTTTTACTCTGCAGAAGTGACAAAATCAGAGCGGTGCTGTGGGATAGACCATATTGTAATTTTTATATAATATTTTTTATACGAGGAATGATGTGATCCCAGCCCCGTTCCTTTTTGCAAACACTGCGGGTTCAAGAGGTTTAAAGTTTAAGGTTTAAAGTTCATGGCAAGTGTCTTCCCAGTCGACCGTCTGCCTGTGTGTGAAATCAAGAGGGGTGGGGGTATCATCGGCCTTTGACGTCTAGACGACAGGTGACAGATTCCGTTAAAAAAAGATGTGCGAGAGTTTGCGTATTTTAATTGCAGCTTTCGAAGAACGTTGAGAGCACAGCTGTTGAAAGCTTGCTTATTTGGAAGCGTTGTAGTACCCATTTAAATGCATCTCTTTCCACGGTACCAGTCATTGTATTTGCTATGTTTAAGTCTTACTGTGAAGAAACCGGATGAGGGTAGCAAAGAAGCTGGCGTTGCGAAGATGGAAAAGACTGTTCAAGGAGTGATGGCAGGTTGTGTCTTGGGTTTTAGTTGTGCAGGAGCACCCTTAACAGGGTAAAGGGCGTTCTGAAGCAAACTGGGCAGTTTTGACACTTGAATAAATATTTGTTGTTTTTTTTTTATATTTGTTATATGTTGATTCAGAAATGTCAGATATTTTTTTCCCACTGGTAAAGAAGATTTTTTAATTCCTAGAACAGATAAAGAGTGCAAAGTCGATGACTCGCAGAGGCGGGTTTGTGATCTCGTTGTCCGAAGCTTGCGGTGTCAGCGGTGCAGTTGAAAAGCCTTGAATGCTGTTCAGATAGAACGTGTCGGATGTTGATCAACTAGCAGTGTTTCATGGAAGTGATCCATTTTTAAAGTAAACGATTGTGCCTGTAAATACATTACTAGAATGTGATGTTGAATCCAAATAACCGTGTAATAAAATAAGATGTCATTTTGTTTTGTGAACATGCTGTTGATTCTTGTCTGTTGTCTTAACTACAAAGGAACAATTTTAAATAAAAAATGCTATACTTTCTGCTAAATGTTTTTATAATTATCCTGTTATATAAAGAACTTTAATACTTAAAATGGGTGAAATGCATTTTAATATCAGCATTTAGAAGAGCAATCAGTCAGTCCCAACACTTTTATTTAAATGTTGCTCTCTTTTTTGACCACATTTTTTTTTCTTTGTGTAATTGCATTTATTTTTCCTTGATGGGGAGAAACAAAGCGCAGTCAGTTTGTATTTAGAGCATTTTATTTGGTGTCTGAATGAGAGACAACTTCAGTCTGATGTATATAAAAGAAGCCCTTTGTACACTCATTTAGATTGAAGATAACACTTCAGGTAAAATGTTTTTTTTTCCATGCCAGCTAATATTTTAGTGCGCACACTGCTGACATCTTGAATTGATCTTCAGTTAGTAGTACGTCTCTTTTTCAACCCAGCCTGTTGAGAAAGGAATTGGATAAGGAGAGGGCAACTCGACTCCTTAATACAAACTAGGGTGGATCTGTTAGAGCACTTAAGCATTTCTAGATGCGAAATATTTTATTTTAAAAGACAACCGTAATTTAGTTATTTTTAAAATGTTAATTTCTGTGGTGACTTCAGTGCAGATTTGGCTCATCTTATCAAGGTATTTAAAAACTATCTTAGAATCTGAACTGTATATTCTATTTCTCCAGTAACTTGGGGGGCTGCTGTGTCAGCACTTAATGACCCAATTAAACCAATTGTCTCAACTGGAGCGTTTCTATGAAAAAGAAATCAAGCGTCTTCTAGAACTCTTCTAGAATCAACATGGTGAATCAGAATGAAAACATACCCCCGGGATTCCTTCGGAGTATGAGCTTCCTGATCTCGTCGTAAATGAAGATGAGGAGACTGTAGGGGAAGGCACAGAACCACCAGGTGATTCTGAAATGGAGAAAGATTTAATCCTGTCAAATATTAGTATATGCACCTGAGCAGTTGTCTTCACCTGAAGGTAGTCACAGGCACGTCTGTGTCTGCATTGTAGCAGCGCTCCTCCCAGTGAAGTTGATAACTGGGAGAGTGCCCCATTCCTAATGAAAATGGAGAATATTGGCATACCCACTTTACTAAACAGGAGGAAAATTTTTACCAGCGAACAGCCCCAAGAATACTTGAGAACGTGTAAACTGGGGTGTCAAGATCCAAGAGCTCCGCAGACATACCTCCCAAGTTATTTTCCTTTTCATACCTTACCAGTTTGGAATCGCTAGTCATTTTAGTGGCTTGGTTTCAAAGTTCCCTCTGTACCACAAAGGGAGAACGAAGGCCAATGATAACTCATATCTCACACGGCCACTTGTCGATAGCATTGGTCAGTTGAAACATCTCGGCTCCATACTGCTTTACAGGAGAGTTGGCAGCAATTGGACAAGTAGCATGTCTCGCGCTGACTTCACAGTAGGCTCTGAAAGAAGAACCACAAAGCCCACCCAGCCCTGGGAGTGCTTGACTAATTGTAGACAACCACCTGGGCAATCACAGGCCTGTCACGTTAAAGCAACAGTGGTTGGATCACAGTGGTCATCACCAGTGTCTTTTTGTGTACCAAAGTGCAGCGCATCTTGAATGGGTTTCACTGTCAGTCTCTGGTTGGCAAGTTTGCTGAGTGGCTTTTTCTTAATGAAATCATCCACTTGCAGCTACCTTAAAGTACGCATTGATATGGGACAGCAGAATGGTAATATAGAAAGTGCCATCAGATAACCAAAGTTTCACAACCAAATAAACGACACTTTCATGTAATAGTGTTTAACGTCATTACAGTGAATGTTTCGGTTTTACTCAGTTTGATTCAGTTGAGTATTTCAGATGCCTAGCAGTTACAAAGTAATGTTTTGGTACTTGTTGTCCAATTTCTGTTAGACGCAAGACATCTCTGTGCAACGGAAAGCTGGTATAATATAGTGAATTTCCGATCTGTTCAGGAAGTGGGAGTATGGCTTTTCAATTATTGTGTTCATTTTATCAATAAGATTTTATTATGAAATTTCTTACACTTAGCACTTTTCTGGACTCTCCACGCAGAGCTCTTTACAGATCATGGGGATCCCCTCCACCCCCACCCCCACCAGTGTGTCACCCCCAGGAGAGCAGAGTGATGAAGCGAGTTCAGAGATGGGGGTTATTAGGAGGCCATGATGGGTAAAGACCAGGGGAAAATTTGGCCAGGACACCAGGGTGACACCCCTCCTCTTTTCGAGAGACACCCTGGGATTTTTAATGACCACAGAGAGTCGGGATCTCAGTTTTACTTCTCATCGGAAGGACGGCACCTGTTTACAGTAGAGTGTCCCCGTCACTATACTGGGGCATCAGGACCCCCACAGACCGCAGGGTGAGCGCCCCCTACTGGCCCCACTAACACCTCTTCCAGGAGCAGCCTCAGCTTTCCCAGGAGTCTCCTATCCAGGTACTGGCCAGGCTCTCACTGCTGAGCTCCAGTGGGCTCAGTCAATGAACACTCACAGCAGCGTATGTTGGGGAGGAGGGAGATGGCGAAATCATACTTGAGCGGGTACATGCGCAGAGCGATATCCATCCCGGGGCAGTAGGAGAGAAAAGCCGCCAGCGCCGTCTCTTCAAACAGCCCGAAGATCAGGATCCGATTCCTGAAACCCAGAGAGTGGCAAAAATTGGCTCTCTTTTACGTAAATGTGAAACCACTCTCTTGTGTTCTTTTTTCCTACAAGTGGCCATAATAAATAAATCGCACGGTGCCCATGGGGGGCCAGATGTTTCCTGCGAACAGCAGCAGAAAACCAACTGGCCCTGAAAGCTCTGTAGAGCTAACCCAAACCCTGATGCTGAGATTGCTCAAGACATAGGCTTCGGCCACACTAGCAAATTGTTGTTTGTGGTTTGTACCAAGCTTTCAGGCTTATGATAACTTCTGAAACAAAAATACCCTTAATGCTATCCAGTCATCTATCCACCAGATCATCCATTCATCCATCCATCCACATCTCCTGGGCCAATTTTGTGCTCTGGACGTTTCGAGTGGTTTCTGAAAAGGCAGCCGTAGAGTACAGGAGTTTTCACCCGCATTGCTTACTTCATGCCCTGTTGAAAGACGGAGTTCCTGCGAGTCTTGCAGATGATGAGGTCGGCCCACTGCACCACCACGATGCTAGAGAAGAAGGCCGTGTGGCAGGTGAATTCCACGATCTTGCGCTGCTCGTAGGTCTGTGGTGAAAGGGGAGTTATTATAACGTCTAGTTAAAATTCAAACTGAATTAAAAACTACCCATCCCAGTTAACATGGCCGTGCTTGTGATCCTTGCGTTTAACCAAGGAAATGGGGCGAAAAATCAGTCACATGACTTTGGGGGCCGAGTTTAGAAAGATTAACCTATCGGCAACAAAGCAAACTTTCCTCAGATGCATGATCATGGAGATGATGCCACTACTCTTTCCTCCTTCTTGAATGGAATCTTTCAGCAAAGCTGTCCTATCTCGGTGTTCTTTGGATCGAGAAACTTGCTGGTTCTCAGTTTTCTGCTCAGACGCTATGACTGAGAGTGCGGTAGGTTTGATGTGAGACTGGGCTAAAAAAAATGAAAGAAGCCTGGTTCTGGAGCAGCAGTGACTCCTCGGTTACATTGTCGGCACTGGCTGTCGTCGCCACTGCTGTAGAACTGTAATAGAATGTCAGCAGAGGTTTTCTCATTCACTCAGTAAGGTCTTTATTCATATTGCAATATGGGAAAAAGCCATCACCCGTCTGTGCAGAGAAGTGAAGGCTGATTCAAAAGCAAGCAGGGAGAGCCCTTGTTTTATATCTTTTTTTAAGCTGATGCAACA